GAAAGCCCATGTGTTGAAGGCTTGATCCTCAGCCTGTGTTGCTTTTGAGTGGTGGTGGAACCTTTAGAAGATAAATCCTAGTGGAAGGCAGTTAGGTCATTGGGGGTGTCCTTGAAGGGGATACTGAGACTTCAGTCCCTTTCTCTCTATTTTGCTTTCTGGCCACCACGAGGTGAACAGGCCTCCTCTGTCATACACTCTCACCAAAGCAACATGGCTATATGATCATGGACTGAAACTTTTGAAGCTATGAGCCACAATAAAGATTTCCTCCTTTTAAGTTGATTATCTCAGGCATTTTGTCACAGTTTTGGAAAGCTGACTTATATGGCGAACTTATTTGTATCTTTAAGACTTAATGGGGCTGAAACAGACCATGTCCAGGATGGTCTGAAGAAATGTGGGTCTTGTTTTCTGTTGTCTGTTCCTTGTGAGTCATATTAGACCATGAGCTTCTTAAGGGTAGCCATGGTGCTGTAGTCATCATTGAAATCCCAGTACCTAGGAACGATGCATGGCTCACAGTGGAGATACCTACCAAGTGTAAGGTTGTTGAGTGAATGACTCTCTGTACTCATGCAGACTGAAATCCTGGTGCTGTTTAGCAAGCCCAGTGAGAAGAGGGCAGCACAGAGCAGAGCCTGAGTTCTCTGTGGGGGTGGAAAAATCTCCTTGGAAGAAGGGAGGAGAAGATAGTATTTGTGGTCCAATTTCTTCCTCTTCCAGGGCCCTAATTGACCAAGCAAACTTAAGCAACCCCAGTGTGCTTAGGAAGTTGAATTGTATTGGGAGCTCGTGATGGTGGGAGGAGACCAATTGCAGACTGGTATTCTTTCTTACTGTGAGTATCTTCAGATACAGAAACATGAGAATTACATGTCAAAATGGAGGATGGAAAGGAGAGGAGATAGGAATGCCTTGAGCTTTGGCGTAACTTGCTGAGTACTAATTCTTCTTCTTCTTTTTCCATTTTTTTTTGTTTTTTTAGTGGTGCTAGGGATTGAACCCAGGGCCTTGTGCATGCTAGGCAAGCACTCTACCAACTGAGTTATAGCTCCAGCTCAGTAATGATTCTTAATTGTTTAGAGATGATCAGACTCAGGCTTGTAGGAAATGTTGACTTACTTGGTCTCCGAGTTTCAAAAGTGACACCAAGGTGCTTGCTACTTTTACTGCAGTTTCTAATGAGCTAAGTTATACAGTTATACCTTAAGTTATATGGTTTTAGAGATTTTCTGCCAGGGTTACATTTGTGTGTAGATACACACAAGAGCATGAGAAATTTCATGGATTGTCAGATGTATTTCTGCTGGGATGGACCCAGTTACTGAAAGTGAGTTTTCATCTTTTGCTTGTTTAATTATATAATGGGAAAAGTTAATGACTTTATTACTCTGTACTAGAATATCTTGAGGCAGTTAAATTCTTTGATTTGTCTTAACACTATGTGCATTGACTGATGTCTTTATTAACTTAATTTTTAAGCACTTACCTATCTGTAGCACTCTCTGGACAATTATAAACTATATTTAAAAGTTTCATTATGTTTAATTTCTAGTTTTTTCTGGTCTATATGTTAGTTTGTAATTTGAGAATTTTCAACATTACTGAGTATTATAAAGGCTATGGGTCGTGTGCTAGGTTTTTTTTTTTTTTGTAGCATTAGTACAAAATATCTTCAGCATGCCAGTTGCACATTGTTGCTGGGAATATGTAAAACTGATGATAAATAAGTTGTAAGAGTCTGTCTTAATAGAAAATCTTCTGGCGCAATCTGTTGAAAATTTTTCTAAGTACCTTTACCTGATTCTAAACTCAACCTGAACCAAACATTGTAATTTTACCTGAGTTAACTACTCTCTCCTCTGGGCCCTCCTTTGGGACATGTACACATTTCCCTCTCAACACAGAATTTTGGGATAATCTATTTGTTTGCAAGCTTTTCTCCTGTATTAGATTATGACTGGATTATGAGTTTTTTTTGAAAAGGCTCTAACCCCTGTATCACCAGAGCCTAGCACAATTCCTTACTCTAGAATAAGACCAAAGGAAGGCAGATAACTATATTGAGCATCTAGAACAGCACCTGGCTTGTGGATAATCTCTGAATGCATATTAATTGAATGAGTGAGCCAGTGTCAATAATTGGTGCTCAGTAAACATGTGTTGAGCTAATAAATTAGTCTATACTTGTGCAATTTGTTTCATAGGTGAAAACCATATTGTTCAATAATCCAGATGCAGCAACTGCATAAGGGGTTCATTACCTGGATTTGCTTTTTAATAATCCAGATGCAGCAACTGCATAAGGGGTTCATTACCTGGATTTGCTTTTTAAGGTAATCCTGCCTCCCAACTCAAGAACACTGAAAACCTGATAGAAAACAGCACTGAAAGTTAAAAAAAAAATGCTGCCAAATTATTATTTGATGAGAGAAAAGAAATTAAGAAATAGAAGGCACTTTTTGATAAAACTTATTTTTAATCCTATACATTTCAGTATACTATTTGTGGATGTGGACCGTGCTTTTATTTTTTGTGCTGTTAGGAAATGTTACTCAAAACCCCCTTATAAATTTGTTATAGTTTTCATATCTTATAACTTTTCTGTTTAGGCTGATCTCCTATTTGGGGCATGTTAACTTTACTAATGGATCACAAATCATTTTAGGGAACTCAGAAACCTACTACTAGGTCTTCTTACTTGCTTTCTTTTTGCAATAATGGATGGACATTCATGTTTTCATCTGCCTGCAAAAGAAATCTGATAGTTGAAAAAGTAATTAATAATACAATCATGATTCTTTCAAAAATAAATGAGACACTGTTATTTGAACCATCATGGAAAACAAAACAAAACAATAAAATAAAATAAAATAAAATAAAATAATCAAACATAACCTACCTGTGCTGCCTCATCCATGTCTCACTGGATTGTGCTCTCTGCCAAGATGGGAACAAGAGGCGTGAGGCAGCGGTTGAAATGTCCACAGAGAGACATACATGTAAGAGGCAGATGTTGGCACGATGCCAGAGCTGCTAACTCCTTACAACATGATTGTAGGAGGTGGGTCTAGCTTTAACTTGTTCTCCAGAGCTGAAGTTTTTGCATTCTGTTATGTAAGCACATATTGTTTGCCTTGATTGGAGAGAGAGCAGTCAGGACAGTTTCTTCCAAATGGTTTCTTTTTACCCATTGCATGATTTTCCCCATTCTGATTGCTCATCCTTGATAAGGTAAATCCTTGATTTACTGTTCCCTTTTTTTTTCCCCCCCAGTACTGGGGATTGAACTCAGGGGCACTTGACCCCTGAGCCACATCCCCAGCCCTATTTTGTATTTTATTTAGAGACAGGGTCTCACTGAGTTGCTTAGTGCCTTGTTGCTGAGGCTGCCTTTGAACTTGTGATCCTCCTGCCTCAGCCTCCTGAGCAGCTAGAATTACAGGTGTGTGCCACGGTGCCCAACATTTTCCCTTTCCTCTTTCTTTTTTTCCTATCTTTTCCAGGATCTTTCATCTCCCCTTCCACATGTTTAAAATGAGTGTTGACCTTGATCCTTGGGCCCCTCCCCTTTCTAATCTGCTCCATAGGGGCCCCATGGGAGCAGAGTGTGTGGAATCAGATGAGAAGCAGAGTCAAATTGCAATGCAACTCAGGCCTGGGACCCCCCAAACTGCAGCCTGGGTAGTGAATTAGTTAATTTTGGGTGCCAGATGAACTTGAAGTGTTCTAGAGACACGATCATGAGTATTTGTTTAGGAAACTTTTAAACTAAATTTAAAAATGCCATCAAGTGGAGGCTTCATATAACTTTTCAGTTACATAATTGTGGCTATCTTTAAAATTTTCCTTCACTCCTTTACATGAGCTCTATAAGATGAAGTGCTGCTAAGTGCTTCCCCAGCACTTAGAACAGGGCCTGGCACATTGCTCAATAAATATTTGCTCAGTAAATATTTGTTGAATGGATGAGTGACATAATGCTTCTATAATCCTCTCAGGTTGAATGGAAGGCAGAATTTGTCATTTGAGGGGCCTGAATTGCAACCCTGGCCCTACTTCTTACAGCCTCTTATAATGCCTAACCTCTCTGGGCCTGTTACCTCATATGTCTAATAGAATATCTGCAAAGTCTTTATAGTAAAATGATAAAAAGGTTTTGGATGGATTCTGCTATGATCTGAGTGTTTATGTCCCTCCAAAATTCATGTTAAAATCTAATCCCCAATGACTGCTTCTTAAGAGGTGGAGCCCTGAGGATGTCACTAAGCCACAACAGCAGAGCCCTTGTAAATGGGATTAATGCCTTCACAAAAGAGCCCAGAGGGAGCTGTTCACCCCCTTCCACATGTGAGGACAGTGAGAAAGCACCATCTCTGGAACAGAGCTCTCACCAAATACTGAATCTGCTGGCAAATTGACCTTGAATTTCCCAGCTCCCAGAACAGGGAGAAATAAATTTCTGTTGTTTATAAATTATCCGGCCTAAAATATTTTGTTCTAGTAGCCCACATGGACTAAAACAAACCTTTTGTGGCTGTCTGTCCACTTCTTATATTAATGCTAGTTTTTCACCATATTTTCCTTCATTCCTTCAGTTGTGGCTGCCTTCTTTATGTGAGGGTCCAAGTTTAAGTAGAGAAGGAATTGCCTCTTTTTGCAATGGTCATTCTTTTTCATTATAAAATCTCAGGAAACGAAAAGCACAACTGTACAGCTCATGGGCCTTAAGTTTAGCATAGCATTGTCAAGTAGCTGCAGCTGAACTGCTGAGAAGAGACAAAAGAAGCCTTCAAGTCTCTGCTTCCCACAGGGTCAGCAGTGGTGTAATGTGGGAGATGTGAGACACAAGGTGGGAGGGTGGGAGGACGTGGGGGGGAGACACTGGAGAAGCAGATAACTTCAAACAAACTGGACCCCCTGAGAAGAAATTGACCACTCATGCATAGCTCCCTCCCAGCCCCTAGTACTGAAAAGACAAGACGGGAGACAAAGAATAGGTAGAACAGGATGTAAAGTTTATATACAAGAATATAATGTTTATCTGAAATATTTACAGGGTTGGTTAAAGCAATATTTTTACAACTTTTTCAGGCCAACTACTATGTATATTACAGGTAAGCTACAATGGTTTAATTTGCAAAAATTAAGTAAAAAATGTTTTAAACACAGCTTAAAGTACTCAAGTCAATAATAAAATTTCTTTACTTTGTCCTTTATTTGAAGAGATCATACTATGAAGAATGGTTAATGTGCTTTTTATAAATGGAAAGTCTGCAGCTGGAATGGGATACATGCAACAATCTGACGTTCCCAATGAGGGTGTAAATTGACAAATGAATCCTTGTTAAGACTTAGATGCTGAGTCCCAGGCTGGAGCCCGGGAAGATGTTGAGATAACAGCCAGCTTTATCTCAACCAAGTGTGAACCACAAGTTTGGGCCACAGTTTGCATGCTACGGCAACATCTGTGGAAAGTTGTTTCCCACCAAATAGCGGGAAACAAATCAGACCCAAGTCACAGTCGGACCTATTCAAAAACTAGCCTTGAATTGAACTGTTTTAAACCTTCATAAAAATATTCATAATTTTATTAGTTTGAACATTTCCACATGATCTGGGGGGTTTTCCCTTATGTGAGAGCATCTATCCACTCCCAGGCCTCCCAGGGCCTGGTGACTCGGGAATGCTGGGATGCAATGTGCAAAAGGCAGCTGGGGCTGGAGCAGGGGGCTGTGCTTGGGAGACAGGAAGTGACGTCCTAGAGCGGAAGTGGTCAGCTGGGCTCTGGAGCTGACCGGTCAGGAGCCAAGCGGATGCCGGAACTAGCACTGCAGCTTGCGGATGCTGCGGGAGATGCGCTTGAACTCTCTCTGCCCCTTCTGCCACCGCTTCACGGAGGTGATCACCAGCTCCCCGCCCTGTTTCTGTCCCATGACGAGATAGGGCGCGTTGATGTCGTTCATCTCCTCACAGGTGCACTGCAAGCTGTCTTTGAGCCACAGCACGGATTTCTTCAGGTCCCTTTCGGACACACCGTTCAGCTTGTAAATGGTCTTGCTCTTGGTCTCCAGGATGATCTTGGTATCTCTGTTGATGTAGGTTATCTCCTTCACTTTTATTTTCAGCGCTGTGAGGATGAGAGGGGGCAGAAGGAATCACACCAGTTACCACGAGACCAACAGTATAGGCTGGGAACTTTGTGCACTCTGTCCAGCGGCATGTGTGTGAGCAAAGAGGAGCTTCCTAGAACTAATAAGACTGTCAGGGGTTGCAGGTAGGGGGTTGGGAGCTGGGGGCAGCAGGTGGCTCCATTTCTAAAGCCTCAAAGCGTTTGCCAGGCACTTTGTTTCAAATCAGCCACCCTTTCCAAATGCTTTCTCTTTGCAGGACTCAATTAACTTTTCTCCTGGTTTCCTAGCTCGCCCTTGTGTTTGTAAGTAGGTTGCATGTGGTTCCTGCTCGCCCCAACAAATGACTTCCCCTATTGGAAACTTCAGCATGAAAAGAAATGCCTGACTCTTAGGTGAAACGTGATCCTTCTGTGGCCGTAAACTTTAAACTCAATTTATTATGTCGGAGAGGTTTTTGGACAAACCTGTAAGGAAATTGTATCACACAATCATTGTTTTCTAAAGAACAGATTACAGGGAAGGAGAATTGATCTTGCAGCTGCATTTGATTTGGTAAAGTAACTAGGAGAAAAAATATGCAAGACGCTTTTTAAGAGCACAACATGTTTAGCCATAAAAGTGTTTTTCTGAAGACCTCATCCTCATATGCTCTCATTTGTCTGTCCAAGGCCAAGGCATTTACAGATCATATATGTACTGTTTCCAAAATGTATATGTAGACTCATTAGAATGTTAAGACCTAACGTAAGTGGTTTACTATAAAAGACACATTTTATAGTCATGAATAGTATGCCTTGGGAAAGAAAAATTCTACAAACATACATGCTGGATTTAAATTTCAAGACTCCACGAAGGCAGGAAAAGGATAAAACTTCAAGGTTGGAAGAGGTCATCCCATTAAGATCTCTTGTTATTACATGAAAAATCTGAAATCCAGAGACTTTAGTGACTGGCACCAGGTTACCCAGTTAGATTGTGTCCCACCTTAGTCTAGTTCTCTTGAGGGAAGGTCAAATTTCCCATCCTGGTTAGAGAGCACTAATTTGCCCAACTCCAATGTGTCCTAAGACCCTTGGTGCCACTGACAGCTGTTCTGTATAGGGGACATACAAGTATGACTTCCTGACTTTGATGGGGTTTAATGCATTGTTTAAATTAATAATAGAGGAAGAGTTTTCTTGAGTGTTTATAACTCTTTGAGGGTTTCTCTATCTTTTTTGAAAATCTCAGGGAATTCGACTGAGTATGACTTTCCAGCCAATCAGAAATGAGAAGCTTAACCAGGATGAAATCAAGAATGCTGGATATGCCTCTGAAACAGCACTGAGTTCTCAGACTTTGTGAGACCAAAGTCATGGAAATATCACATGTGGTCTCTGTAAAGCGGGTAGGGCCCTGGAAAGCCCCACCATGAACTGATTACACATTATCCAGGAGCTGCTCTCTAGCACAGATGGAGTGTGTACAAGACTTCACCTGGCCAAATGAAACATTCTTGAGCTGGGAGATCAAAAACCAAATCATCACTTTTAACCAGGAGGAGATTTATTACTCCTCTTCCTGTAGCTATATAATGACCAACCTGGCAAACATGTATCATGGGAAAACATGAGGGGTTTCCTCTTTGCATTTTCAGCTGAGACCAAACATAGGGAATTAAAGCTCCAAAATAACTGTTCCTGCCTTGGAAGATGTGACCAGGGACGTTGGAGTGATGATACCACCCTGCTCAATGATAAGCTAGCTATCTACATATAGATCAGAAGGCAGTTCTGAAGTAAGGAGGTGTTCCACATTTTCCCCACGTTTAAGGAGTGCAGAGGGGAAGTTTCTGCTTTCCCAGATGATAAAAAGGGTCAGTAAATCAGATGGCTATGCTTGATCCTTCTACCCATGTCTCCACGAAGAGCAGAAGTAACATGGAACACTGCCTGTAAACTAAAGGTACATGATGCCCTTCCTGAAATTCCACTTCATTATCCCTTAATGGGTCAAAAGGAGAGTGGAGAGATTGTTTTACTAAAATGGTAGTTATCTCTTGTCTTTAATCAAGTCTTACAGCATGGAAACTTAGAACTGTGTTTTGGTAAGGCTCTGGTGGTTTGGGATTATCTGCTGCTAACATGCCTGGCCCCCAGAAAGTTTGCAATTTGTACATATTTGAATGCAGACGTATGAAATCCTATTAGCCCTACCATTTGTGGCTCTTCCTGATGGGAAGGGTTGGTTAAGACTTTGAACTACTTTCTTTCTCTCCTTTTCCTTAACAGGGGGAAACCTTTTCAAAGGTGGGGGCCATGGTTGTTCTGGGACCTGCCAAGGTTAAAACAAGGCTACTTCTGGAAGAGAGCTGTAGCTGATGAAGGACAGTGATTGGATTGTTTCCAGAGTCAGGGAGCTGGCTGGGCCCAAGGTTTCAGGGATGGCAAGGGAACGAGCTGGGCTCCCCCCTCAGCTGGGAGGCCTGAGGACCCCAGAGGAGGCACTGGTGGAGTTCTTTGCAGAGGAAGCCTCCCACTTTCTTTCCTCTTCTAATACTCTTTTTAAGGGGAATCACTTAGACTTCATGGAACTTGGGCAACGTATCACATATGTTTTTTATTGGCCTTAAGCACCATGTCATCGTGGCATCTTTCATGTATCTTGCTAAAGTAAATTTCTAAGCTTTCTTCTTCTCTGCCTTTTCCCCCCAACTATTTGCATAAAAGTGTGGCGAATGTGTCTAGACTTACTCATAAAACTTTACAAAAATTTCTTTTAAAAAAGGAATTTAAGATGGTAATTGAGGATCATGCAACAGCCCATGTTAGGTGTCTTCTCATGAAGTCCTTCTTTTTAAATTTAAGGATCCTCTCCCCTATAAATAATTGATCAGTGCCTCGGATGTATTCATTAATGATAGAACATAAGAGGAACAAATCACTATGGGTTATAAGTAAAAGTATTTACTTATCTTATTTGTGGCCAACTTAATGCCTCGAATCTTCTTTGCTGAGGATAATATTTGCATTCCAATTGTTGGAACACATGTCAAGAGAAGAGAATATGGCTGGGATTATGTTTGTTGGCACAAAAAAAGTCAAAGTGAGTTGAAAAGTGTGCCACTGGATGTTGATGACTTGAGTCATTTTCTTATTTGATTACTGCTTAAGGAAACTGCATCTCACTCAAAAATGTAACTCAGTATATGATTGTGACAACCAAGGAAACTAAGAGCAACTTAAATGGCTTTAGGAAGCATGAGGTATGGTTATATTTCACCCAGTCTTTAGTAGCATCTTAATGATTTGTACTTTCAGGTTTGGTAAATAAAACTTTTGAATGTGAAATCTGTTGGTGCTGGTGGTGTATTACTTACCAAAATCATTTTTACAAAGAGTTTCCATGATGTCGTTGTCATCCTCACTTTTACTCTTGCAGGCTTCACATACCTTCGGAGCTAGAAGTGTGAAAAATAGTCTTTAGTAAGTTTGCTTTAAAAGGGAATAGCAGGTGGCATTTGTAAATAACCCAAAGGGCTTATCCAGGCCAGGGCAGCAACTGTCCTAGATGACCCCTGCTTCTGCCTCCTCTATAAAAGTAGGATCACTCATTCCTAAGAAAGTCCCCTTTGCTCCTCATTTTTGGTTGGATAATATGAAAAATGCCCCATATGTTGATAAACAACTCCCAAATAAAAAGTTGTGGGCAGAGTGTGCAGGTGTGTGTAACTAGTTCACTTGGACAGGTTGCAACTTTTCAGCTTGTCCTTCCCATCCCTGGGACATATTTGGTCTAATAAAGTTATTCCCAAAGTCTTTCTAAGAAGAAAACACCCGAAACGTTAAAGGGACCCTTGAGAGTTTTGGAAAACGTGGTAACCATAAAATCAGTCCAAAGATCTTTCTCAGCTAGAGGACACCAGGGTAGCTCATTCTAGTCAGCAGAGCTCAGCATCTCAGGGAGCCATGGCTTGGTATTTTGAAGCTTGTGCAGGGAGGGGTGGCTAGTGCTATATTGTCAGGACAATCCACAAAAAAGGATCTTCCCTTACCCAACCAAAATATGGGGGCTGTTTTCCCCCTGGGAAACACCTCTCTAATTATAACAGCTTGCTCTTACTGGTTCTGTCTCACCTTGTGCTTTCTGATTTGTCTGTGCTTGAGTTAGGCAGCATTTATTTCATGGTTATCTATGAAGCTTCCTGGTACAGGTTCTTCTTGCCTTTCTTTGTTTAAAACTCCCCCCAAACAAACCTGTTTCTGAAGCTAGTCAAAGATGAGGCAGACCTGTATGTGGGGTCTGACCAAACCTAGGAATTTTGTGTTTGCATCATTATCAAAAAGTCTAGAAGGATCTTCTAAAACAGTCTTAATTTCTTGAGAAAACATTCTCTTTCTTTCATTTACAAATATGCTAATGCTGTCTTTAAAGTTTAGGTAAAATTTAATTGTCCTAAGGTGGAATGGAATTTTCACAGAAAAAAACTTTATGTGATAGATAATCAAAGAGTTATTTATCAAATCCACCCCCCCCCCAAAGAAAATTTTGAAGAGCACAAACTTTTATTTTGAAGTAGGAAAGTAACTTTTTTTTTTGAGAAATGTACAGTGTATAATGTTGGTACTGACTGATAGTGGGGAAAAACAAAAACAAACAAAACCCAAACCAACCCACAAGAAACTAACTCCCCTCACCCAACCTAAATGAAATATTTCCAATTAGGAGCTCTCAGAATGTATATAAAATGTTACTAACCTGTATTGGTTAGTCTATGGTATATGTTGGACAAATGTTTGAAAAATGCCAAACATTTGCAATAAATTAGAAATCTAACCAATAAGATGATTGCAAACTCATGGTGCCTGCCAGGAAAGATTGCTAAACAACTTTGCATTTTCTTTAACTAATGATGTCTGTAGGAAAACAATTAGACTGAAAGGGAGACACTGCTGAAGTCCTGAAAGGGATTAGGAAGCCCCCTTTCTATCCCAGGGGGACCTAAATCAGCCCAGACACATTGTATACGTTTTCCTTTCAGGAAGAATATCAAGAGCCCATGAGGTTTTCATTGCTTTGATGGTTTTTGCCCAGGAACTCCCCCTCTGTTTTCTAAAAACTTGGGAAACTCGTTTGCATGATTTTCTCCAGTTAATTAAAACCACTCCTAAGATAAAAGCTGATAGTGATAGAAAGATGATTCCTTGAGATTCCTTTTATGCCCTCTTTCTCAAACACCTGGGCAATTAAAACGAAATATTCGATTTCCAGTCAGTCCTGGTTTTCTCTCCAAAACCTAAACTGGCAAAGGACAAAAGGTAGCTTAAAAGGTCATCCGTTTGTGCATCTTTGTAATCCTGGCTGTATGGGAAATGATGCTGAGACTAGCACACTGCCCAGAGGTAAGAACGTGAGGAATAAGGGATGGTCAAGGAACCCTGGCTCCCCACCAACCAACTCCTCCACACAAGCCCACTTCGAACGCTCTCAGAAGGACGCCCTAGTGTTATCATCTTCAGCAAGAATTGTATGTCTATAAAGAAAAGTTGCTTTTGTTGTTCTTTGTTTTATTTCTTTTTCTGGTATAATTCGGGGGTGGGGATGTCTCAAATTTGATAGTCTTCTTGCATCATAGGAGAGCAAGGAGAGCGTCTGCCCTTTGCAGGACTGGCACCCTCAGCGTGACAAATCCGGATGCCAGAAGGGGGCTGCGGGATCCCACGGGAGGGTCTTAGCCGTGAGGGGGACGAATTAAGAGGGAAGGCTTACCTTCCTCAGTGGCCGGCAGGAGGTGGTCGCTGCTAGCGAGGGGAATGCAGAGGTCGTTGTCTTGGGGGAAACGATCGCACTCGAGCATGTCGGGCCAGGGGAAGCCGAAGGCGGACATCACTGGAGCGCAGCGATCCTTCACCTGCACACAGAGTGAGTGGCACGGCTGAATCGTCTCGTCTAGGTCGTCGAGGCAGACAGGGGCGAAAAGGGAGCACAGGAACTTTTTGGTGTCCGGGTGGCACTGCTTCATGACCAGTGGGATCCAGGCGCCCGCCTGCTCCAGCACCTCCTTCATGGTCTCATGGCCCAGCAGGTTGGGCAACCGCATGTTCTGGTACTCGATGCCGTGGCACAGCTGCAGGTTGGCCGGGATGGGTTTGCAATTGCTGCGCTTGTAGGAGAAGTCGGGCTGGCCGAAGAGGAAGAGCCCGCGCGCCGAGCCAAGGCAGCAGTGCGAGGCGAGGACGAGCAGCAGCAGCGAACCGGGACCCTGTGGCATGGTGGGCGCGCGACCCCCGCGGGGCGGAGAGAGCCGAGCCGGGGAAGCGCGAGGCAACCGGAGCTCGAGCTCGTCCCGGGTCCGCTGGTTCCGCTAGGCGCGGTTCGTGGGCTTGGAAAACCCGCGCCGGTGGTCCTAGCGCGCGAAGCCGGGAACTGGAAAGACCGCTCCGGCGAGGCGCTGCAAACTCGCGCGCAGCTCCGGGGGGTTCCGACCCGGGGGAGCAGAGTGAGCCGCTGCTGGGGCACAGCCAGAGTTTTCTTGGCCTTTTTTATGCAAATCTGGAGGTGGGGGGGGGCAAGGGAGGAGCCAGTGGAGAGTAATCTGAGGAGGGCTGGTCACTATTTTCTTGGTCTGGTTTTCGGTTGAGAATGGCCCTCGTGAGCTCGCTGGAAGTAAATTCTGGCTGTGCCCCATCCCCAGATGCTGCTGCTGCGCGCGCGCTCTACGATTGCTTTAAACAACAAACAGACAAGCCTGGCTGCGTCCCGCAGGGAGCGAGCCATGCGCGGGCTGCGGGAGTTGGGGACAAGCACCTCGCAGAGCGAGCGGCCTCGCAGCCAGGTTCAGGCCTGAACGTACTCCACCGTTCTAGCGGCCCTGGCCGTTGTGCCTTGTGCCACAGCCCTCAGTTTTTGTTCTTTCTGCTGCATTGCGCCGCGAAACGGAGTCCCAGGGAGCCACCAACCACCAGCCTTCAGGCTCTGTGTGCCCCGGGACCAGAGCCCCAGGCCGCCTCGGCGAATTTCATTTGTTACCAAAACTCCAGCTAAAGTTCAGCAGAGTGGTCCATGTGGCGTGTTTCCCTCTGCTCCTGGAAAAACCATCAGAATTATAAAGTAAGCAAAGCTTTACATGGAAAACGAAATAACAATAAGTACTGGAGTATTTTGTTGGGGCGTTTAATGATCTTGCCATTGTAGAAATGCCTCGCATCTCATCAGCATCACACAAAATTGCCCACCATTTCTCCTTTTCGGAGGCGAGATTTTCCTCATTTAAGTAAATGGGATGAGTCCCAAAAGGGTCCTAGCACAGACCGACCCTTACAGCAGGGGGCTCAGGAGCGTTTCCTGAACACCATCGGGGAAGAATTTCTGCCCAGCACAAGAGACTGGCAGATTGGGAAGAGCAGAATCCTGCCAAGAGACCCGGAAGGGTTAAACGCGACCTTGGCAGCATTGGTTCACTCACTTTACACGCACAGGGTGTACCAAGCTGGGCAGAGGTGAACAAACTCTGCTCACGTGGTTCTGGGGATTTAGAGTCTTTGAGGACTGCAAACCGTAAGTTCACAGCTGCAAACTGGGTACTGGGTGCCAGGCAAGGAAAGTGCGTGCGTGCGTGCGTGCGTGCGTGTGTGTGTGTGTCTCCCCTCCCCCTCATCGCTCCCAATCCCCCCACCCCCGCCGGGGAAGCGGCTTTCACCTCCTGGGGCTCCTCTTGCTCCTCCTCCCTCACAGTGTGAAGGTGCACAGCCCCAGAGAGCGAGGTTCTTTCATATGTAAGATGGGCGCATTGTTATTACTTTCCGGCCACTGAGAACCGTCCACTGGCTCAGACCTGCCCTATATCCTCCTTCCGGGGGATGCTTTGGCCTTGCAGACTCCCCCAGGCTCTGTAGTCGGACACGCTTTGTGGTCCAGCAGCTTAGAGGAGGGGGTTAAGAAGTGGCGAAAGCACATTCAGAATCATCTCTTATTTATTTCTGGTGGTAAACACATTGGAAAAGCACCAAGCGGTGGGAGCGCACCTTTCGAATTCGGAGAATCAGGATCGTTAAAAGCTCAGCTTTGATCCTTCTGCAGTGACAAGGTTGCTCAGCCCGGGAAAGGCCCAGGGAGGCAGTAAACAGCCGCTCTCTCCCCGACTTTGTCTTAGGCCTCTCGGTTTCTAACTTAAGCACCGAGAGCCTTAAAACCCGCCTCTCCAAACACACACTGCTTTGACTACCCCGTAGGAAACGCAAGACATCGAATCAAACGGCTACTCGGTGCCTGAGCTCGGAGAGATGCTAGGACTTCGGCGGGGGTCGGGGAGGGGTGGGAGCCTTCCCGCCTCGGACGCCCCCGTCCCCAACGCGCTCTTCTGGGGTACCCTCTGCTCCGCAGAGACCCTTGCTGGGGGCTCTAGAAGTCCGAAGACGGTCGGGCTGGTTTGAGCCAGGCTCTGTGGCACACCCGGGAGGTGTGTGTGCACGTGTGTGTGCCGGGGGCAGAGGGTGGGGCGGACCACGCGCCCGAGCGGCCCGGGGCATTGTTTCGGGAGACCGTGCGGCTACTTCACCGCCAGGGGGCGCCGGGAATAGTGCTGGAGTCACCGCTCCCGAGGTTCGCACTGTCCCGCTCCCGCCCGCCTGGCTGTCCCGCCCGCGGCGCCTACCGCAGCTGTCACGGCTTCTCCTTGCATCCAAGCCCCTCAGCCTCTACCCCACCCTGCGCCGGCTGCATCTTACTTCCCTACCTTCTCCACCTCGTGTCGCATTCCCCTCCCTTTTGTTTTTTCCTTGTCTGCGACCCGCCAAGCGCGTGTCCGTGTGACAGGCGCGCCGGCAGGACCAGCCGATTGCTAGGCAACCTGGAAATAACCTCCCGCCGAGGCTGGTACCCGAGCGGGGACCTCTGAGTGAAAAACACAGCACTGGGACAACTGGTGGCAATCGTGGCGTGTCTTCCCAGCTCCGGTCCCTCTGCTACTGCAGCCAGTCACCCTGAGCAGAGTGCCAGTTTAGACATGTGTGCATGTGGTGCTGCTCCACCCGGGCATCTTAGATAACACAGCCCTCTAGTTCACAGGTTTCCTCCGATCCTTGTCATTTATCCAAAGAAGCCAAAGGCTTTTGTTTTGGGATAAAACAACAAACAAAACCCAGCCCCCCCCCCCCCCCAACCTGCTAACTCTCTTCCCTGCCGATTTAGTGCCTCTTTTAGGAACGGAAATTCTATTCACCACACCCAGTAAGTGGTGATGGGTGTCCACCCCATGGTGATTCCATATACCAAGCCACGCATCCTGTTTAAAGAGCTCTGCTCATGGGTCTCTGGAGGAGTTTTGATTCCCCCTCACCCCAGAGCACACAGCGAATAACATCTCACCCACAGGTTACAGGCCTGAAAAAAAGCCTCCACCAACTGTGTTCTGGATTTGGCCCTGCTTCTCTGCTTGAGTGTTTTCTGTGGCCAGGACACTGAAAATCTTGAGTGACAAAGAAAGGCACCCCACCCCACCAACCCCCCGCCAATCACTGCAGAGCAGTTCAGGCACTTGGTTAAACCTGTGTTGCTGCAAGAGTTTCTGGGCAGGTAGGACCCTCACTCTCAGTCTCTGAGATTCTGTCCTTCACCAGGGCCCAAGCTGGGAACCTCTCCACCCCAGCATCAGCTCTGCATTCTTTTTTTTTTTTTAATCTTTATTTGTATGTGGTGCTGAGGATCGAACCCGGGCCGCACGCATGCCAGGCGAGCATGCTACCACTTTAGCCACATCCCCAGCCCCAGCTCTGCATTCTTGAAGTGCTGGAGAAAGTGACCCTCCCATCCCCACTGGCGAAATAATCTCATGAAAGAGAAAGCGTACAGATGCTTATTTCTTAGGAGTGAAAGCAAGAAGGAGAAAAATACGTGTAATATGCTTTTTCTTAATTCTCCTACTCTAGCACCGGCATCAGAAGGGGAGCTTCAAATTGAAAACTAGTTTCTTAGCCCCCTAATGTACACACCATAACTTCTTGTTCACTTAGATTGGAAAATTTGGGGTGTTCATGCTCCAGATTAAAATGCACAGCCTCTTGGGATGCGTTAAGGCGTTACCCAGCAATTCCCAAGCCCAGAGTAATTCCGTTACTTGGGGAAAGGACGTGAGCAATGCAGAGAAGAGCAATCCATTGCTAAGACGCTTCACTAACTGTCTGATTGAGGGCCATCCTGCCTGACGACATCCTCACTGCCACCTTTTTATTATCCTTTTGCACATCACTAGTCACGAGGAAACTGAGGCGCCCAGAGATTAATTGAGCCCGGTCACCTAGTAGTTGCTGACCTCATAGGTATTTTGGTGAAATTATGCCTCGGCCGATTTTGGGGTCCCGTCCTGACTATTGGGTGTCTTCAACAGCTTTGTGGCTTGGCTTTCACCCACGCGTCGGTCAGCGGGTGGGCGACGTCTGGTCCTCCTCTTTTGGCCGTCCCTGCTCTGCCTGCAGCCGCGCCACTTTCAGGTTACTACTCTCTGAAGCATCTTTTCTGAGATTCGAAGTAGCCATGTGGGGGCGCCATTTCCCAAACCAGACATTGTCCCTCGAAGATTGCAAGTCGGCTTCTTTCCTGCTATCGTGGCTCTGAGATCCCCCCCCCCCTTAAAACAAATTGGGCACGAGGATGGCTTTTGGGGGGACTGGGGGGTCATTTTCTTTGTCTTTGGTCCTCCCTTCACTAGGCCTCACTGCCCTTGAGGGAAGCTTCCCGACGTCAGTGCAGAGAGGACAGGTGCCAGCGCTCCGTCGCAGGGCATCTCAGTTGCACTTGGACCCCCTGGTACCCCACAGCTTAGACTAGACCCGGGCCTGCTACGCCCGCCTCGGCCTCTCATTTAAAAAAAAAAAAAGAGTTGAGTCTGAGGATGACCCGTTTGCCAACTCTTAACCCGAGTTCTTGCGCTTGTCGCTTTGCTGTAGATTCCAAGGGCTCGAGATCCTTCTGGGAAAACCAGCAAAGGGACCAGGGAGGCCAGTCTCTGCCCGTCCCCAGGCGAGGCCCCTGTCGCCTTTTCGCGGTGGAGTCGCAGACTGGTTGGCTGGGGAGGGGTTCCTCGGGGCCGGGCAGGAGCCGCCCCCCTCTTCCCGGCCGGGTCACCTTCCCGCGGAGAACGCAGCGCCCGGAGAGTGGTAACGCCCGGTGGGTGTGAGCGCCCTGGTCGGTGTGAAGCAAGCCGGTGTGAAGCCCTTTTTGTCCCAACCACAACGAACTCGCTCATTGAGAAAGACTCTGAAGTCAGCGAATGGAGACTTTGGGAACTCCATAAAAATGGCTAAAAACCAGTCTCCAATATAATAAAAATAATTACTCTAGGATCATTTCCTTGCTCTTCCCCTGGCCACACGGATGATTTAGTGGAAAACTGGGTATGGACAGAGAATAGTATATTGTATATTGTTTTATAATATACTTTTTTTTTTTCAGAAAAAGGAGAAACATCACGGAGGCAGCCTGGGTTTGGCGCCTTTGCAGGGACCAGTTTCCATTTTTTTTTTCTATTGTTTTTTCAAAGAGAAGATTTTCGAAGAAGGGACGGGGCTAGAGCATGGCTTTTCTTATTTGCATCCCTGG